ATAATTTGACCAACTCTCCCTAAAAGATGGAAACTCTCAAAAGAAGCACTATGAAAATAAGAGTGCGAATAAGTTTTGAAATAGGGCAAAAAAATTTCGCTGTAGAGCAGCAAAAATTTACGGCTGTTTCGATGCTTCTCACACTGTTATGTTCTTGATGCTATGTTTTTATCAAATTCTAATCATCTTCTCAGGTCCTTCCTGGCAAGAAATGAATGATAAGCGTGGATTTCGAGTTGATGAGTTGCTATCAGACGATAATAAGAACAATACCACGCAACAAGCCGGAGGTAAGCTTTGCAAATTAGGTAGATTATTTGATTTTCGTTATAATTGCTATTTAGCAAGATCGAATAACCAATCAGGAAGTACAAACAAAACACGGCGAGCTCGAACAGCATTCACCTACGAGCAACTAGTAGCTTTGGAGAATAAGTTCAAGGTGATTATCAATGTAGATTTATTGATTGTGTGCTCAATCTCTCGTTCAGACTTCACGATATTTAAGCGTTTGTGAACGATTGAATCTTGCCATACAGTTGCATCTCACCGAAACACAGGTACCCAACTTATTAAAATTCAAAGGTTCTTCTGTATATTCTACTTAGGTCAAAATTTGGTTTCAAAATCGTCGAACCAAGTGGAAGAAGCACAATCCTGGCATGGATGCTAACTCTTCACCGCCACCCACTGCAAATCAGTCGTCTACAGCTACAGTATCCGATAAAATACTTACTCCTCCAGGGTTACAGCTTTCACAGCTTAGCATGGTAAGTCTCAGTGAAGGTGCACAGATCACTACTTTTTTTCCCTTATTTCTTTCATAATTTTAGATCCCAGTCAGTGCACCGCTTCTGTCACTTCCTTCTATTCCTCAAACTGGTGCATCAATGTTCCCATTTAGTTTCTATGATATTAACAGTTCACCAATATTCGTGTCCCAACGATTGCCCTTTCTCACTTAAAAATAACCAAACTTATAGTGATAATGGTAGATTTTTAAGTGCGCTTTTGTAAGGAAAACACTTCAAAAAGTTGAATTAGCTCCCAGCTATAATTTGCTTTTCTGCTCATTTTTTTGCTAGAGTGACTATGCATTTCTTCCCTCTCTCTCGAGTTCGGGATCCCTTATCCTTTTGTTTGAATTGTAGCTATTTTGCGGGTATGTAGTTATTTACTATTTTTATCGTGTCATGAGCTTTGCTTATAAATTACAAATTTTAGAACATTTTTACACTTAAGCCAAATATCCAGTGCAATTCTGATAAAATTTCTAAATTTTGAGTGCAACGTATAATCGAAGCTATGATTTTTATAGTGATTGAAAGCAGTGCGGAACATCAAAAACGCATAAAGTCGTCTGTGATTGTCATTTTATTGCTCGAATGTTGCGGAAGGCACTGAGAATTACAGCTAATGCTGCAATCGCATA